GGAAGGAAACGGTAAAACGACAGCCCAAAAGGAGTGTCGATGTGTTGGGGACCCGCGCAGGAAGGCTCGTCCGCCCGCCCAAAACGTGCGTCTAGACCTGTCCGAGTTGTCCCACCCCTGGCCTCCTTGCACGCCTCCTCCCCCGTCTTGTCCATTCCTGGCACGATGGGGGACGAAGCAGCCACTTGCTGCTGGCTTCCCGGGCTCAGGGCAGGGTAGGGTTCCCAAAACAGGATACCGTCGATATCCAGCGTCTTGGGGTGCTGCATGCCGAACGTCGGGGTGCCCTTGGGCGCTGGCAGCTGGTTCGCGAACACAACCCGGAGATTGCATATTCGCTGGCAGCCGTGTTTTGCCATTCTCCAGGCAAGCAAACGCGAAGGATTCGGAGCGTAGAGGCGGATGACAACCGTGGCAGAAGGCAGCGGCGGCAGCAGGAAGAGGATTCGACAAGCGCATCAGCATAGAGATCGCGAAGCCTCACTCCACCGCAAAGTCTGACAAGCCCAGCAAAAAAAAACGACCCTTGCGCGTGGACCCGAAACGGTGTTTACCAGGACTCCTGGGACAAGGCACTGGCGTTGCGCCATCAAGGGCTCTCGGGCCTACACCGGGGCGATTCGGAGCTCATGGCGGCAAACGGCAGTGGCGCCAGCCGGGGCTGGTGAGGCCCCAGCCTCTGGGCCGATGAGGCTGAGGCAGTTGCTCGTGGATCGGTGAGGGCTGGCGGCGTCAACCCGCGTGAGCGCCAACCAGGGCTACTGAGCCCAGGCAGGGGCCAGGCATGGGCTGCTAAGGTTAAGCAGGACCTCGTTAGGGGCGGATGGTGGCCACAAGCTTCGGGCCCTGCCAGGACTAGCGAGGGCTGGGCAGGGGAGGGGCAGGGCTAACAGCGGCCTTAGGCGTGGGCGCCAGCCGAGGCTTGTGTGTGCAGGGAGAGGGCTAATGAGGGCGGGTGGCTGCACTTCCGCGGCGGCGCCAGCCAGGGCTGGCGGGACAGAGCGAGGACTTGCAGAGGCTGGTGGAAGCAATAGCGTTGCCACCAGCCAAGGCTGCTGAATCTGGGCAGGGGCGAGAGGTGGATACCAGATGTGGCGCCAGCCGAAGATAGTGACAAAACGCGACGGCTACTAGGAGCCAGTTGCGGCAATCGTAGTAAGCAGGGCTAGCAGGCGGGAGACCGAACGGTCTCGCCGATAATGGCAAGCGGAATCGGCTGAAGGACGAGTCGAATTCCTTAGAACTGGAAAAAAACCTTCGCCGCATCAAACAATCGGGAAAGAAACGAGAGACTGGCGCCACGAAGAAGTTGTGGCAGCATCAGCGCTGGATGGCAAGAAGACCACGAGAGAGGACGCAGAATCGCATCGGCAGATGCACCCGCAGTGGGCCGAAGGAAGCTGCGAGAACAGAAAAAGGAAAGGATAGCAGGTCGTGGAGACAAGCGCAGACCACCCCGATACCAGCGGCAGGCAGAGGGAGCACTCGCAAGGAGGCGCAGAGAGGGAACACTTCGAGATGGGGGTGGCGAAGAAGGGCGGGGCGGAAGACTCTCAACTTTTTCGATTCGCCTTGTGCCTGATAACACACTGCACGAGCGTGGAGGCAATGCTTACCGTTGAAACCGAGCGGTACCACAAGCCCTCTGAGCGGCTGGTGCCCTCTAGTGCTTCTGTGAGACTTCTGCCAGCCATCTCGTCAACCCAATAAAAGAGAGGCTCGGGTCGGGCGAAAGGGGGGGATAGCAACGGGGGGGGGGAGAATCAGCTCACGTAGCTGATTTTCCCGGCGCCTCCCGGCGCCGGAGGCGACTATGTATCGAGGAATGGGCCTCTCGGTGAGGCCGAAACCAGCTGCATGCAGCAAATTTCGTAACCCCCCCTTTCCCAATCCCCCCCTTTCGTCCGGCCCGAGAGGCTTACACGTTCCCCAGATCGCCATCCTTTCCGAGGGGCTCAACTTTGAGGGGCCACTAGGTCTGGTCGTCCTGACTCGTCAGGCCACCCGAGCGCCGAGTCATGAAAATGTTGACGTCGACTTCAGTATACTCGACTCCATACAGGGCAGTTTTTAATACTTAGGATTTTTGAAAATATCGGATTTTTAATACATGATCAATATATGAATAAATTTATGCATGAACTCATCGTTGTTTTTCCCAACCCTCCTGCGTTGGGTTCTCGTTTTGAATAGAGTACTGCTCGCGCGTCTCCTTCCTTCCCGCCTCCCCCCGTCCCTCTCTTCCACCCTGCCTTCGCTCGTCGCTGCGTGCCAGCTGGGGGGCTGCGATCTGTGAAACTGTCGCCACTTTCGAGGCCTGCTGGGGGGCCCAGCACAGTGGGTACACACGGCGGATTGAAATTGGACCTCGCCATCCCTGGGGGGCTGCGACCTGTGAAACTGTCGCCATTTCGAAGCCTGCTGGGGGGCCCAGCACAGTGGGTACTTTTGGACCTCGATCTGTGAAACATGCTGGGGGCCCAGCACAGTGGGTACACACGGCGGATCAAATTGGACCTCGCCATCCCTGGGGGGCTGCGATCTGTGAAACTGTCGCCATTTTCGAGGCCTGCTGGGGGGCCCAGCACAGTGGGTACCACGGCGGATTGAAATTGGACCTCGCCATCCCTGGGGGGCTGCGATCTGTGAAATGTCGCCACTTTCGAGGCTGCTGGGGGGCCCAGCACAGTGGGTACACACGGCGCATTGAAATTGGACCTCGCCATCCCTGGGGGGCTTCGATATGTGAAACTGTCGCCACTTTCGAGGCCTGCTGGGGGGCCCAGCACAGTGGGTACACACGGCGGATTGAAATTGTACCTCGCCATCCCTGGGGGGGCTGCGATTTGTGAAACTGTCGCCACTTTCGAGGCCTGCTGGGGGACCCAGCACAGTGGGTACACACCGCGGACTCCAATTAGACCTCGCCATCCCTGGGGGGCTGCGATCTGTAAAACTGTCGCCACGTTGAAGGCAATGCTTACCGTTGAAACCGAGCGGTACCACAAGCCCTTTGAGCGGCTGGTGCCCTCTAGTGCTTCTGTGAGACTTCTGCCAGCCATCTCGTCAACCCAATAAAAGAGAGGCTCGGGTCGGGCGAAAGGGGGGGATAGCAACGGGGGGGGGGAGAATCAGCTCACGTAGCTGATTTTCCCGGCGCCTCCCGGCGCCGGAGGCGACTATGTATCGAGGAATGGGCCTCTCGGTGAGGCCGAAACCAGCTGCATGCAGCAAATTTCGTAACCCCCCCTTTCCCAATCCCCCCCTTTCGTCCGGCCCGAGAGGCTTACACGTTCCCCAGATCGCCATCCTTTCCGAGGGGCTCAACTTTGAGGGGCCACTAGGTCTGGTCGTCCTGACTCGTCAGGCCACCCGAGCGCCGAGTCATGAAAATGTTGACGTCGACTTCAGTATACTCGACTCCATACAGGGTAGTTTTTAATACTTAGGATTTTTGAAAATATCGGATTTTTAATACATGATCAATATATGAATAAATTTATGCATGAACTCATCGTTGTTTTTCCCAACCCTCCTGCGTTGGGTTCTCGTTTTGAATAGAGTACTGCTCGCGCGTCTCCTTCCTTCCCGCCTCCCCCCGTCCCTCTCTTCCACCCTGCCTTCGCTCGTCGCTGCGTGCCAGCTGGGGGGCTGCGATCTGTGAAACTGTCGCCACTTTCGAGGCTTGCTGGGGGGCCCAGCACAGTGGGTACACACGGCGGATTGAAATTGGACCTCGCCATCCCTGGGGGGCTGCGATCTGTGAAACTGTCGCCACTTTCGAGGCCTGCTGGGGGGCCCAGCACAGTGGGTACACACGGCGGATTGAAATTGGGACCTCGCCATCCCTGGGGGGCTGCGATCTGTGAAACTGTCGCCACTTTCGGGGCCTGCTGGGGGGCCCAGCACAGTGGGTACACACGGCGGATTCAAATCAGTACCTCGCCATCCCTGGGGGGCTGCGATCTGTGAAACTGTCGCCACTTTCGAGGCCTGCTGGGGGGCCAGCACAGTGGGTACACACGGCGGATTGAAATTGACCTCGCCATCCCTGGGGGGCTGCGATCTGTGAAACTGTCGCCACTTTCGAGGCCTGCTGGGGTGCCCAGCACAGTGGGTACACACGGCGGATTGAAATTGGACCTCGCCATCCCTGGGGGGCTGCGATCTGTGAAACTGTCGCCACTTTCGAGGCCTGCTGGGGGGCCCAGCACAGTGGGTACACACGGCGGATTCAAATTGGACCTCGCCATCCCTGGGGGGCTGCGATCTGTGAAACTGTCGCCACTTTCGAGGCCTGCTGGGGGGCCCAGCACAGTGGGTACACACCGCGGACTGAAATTAGACCTCGCCATCCCTGGGGGGCTGCGATCTGTGAAAATGTCGTTATTTTCGAGGCCTGCTGGGGGGCTCAACACAGTGGGTACCCACCGTGGACTGAAATTAGACCTCGCCATCCCTGGGGGGCTGCGATCTGTGAAACTGTCGCCACTTTCGAGGCCTGCTGGGGGGGCCCAGCACAGTGGGTACACACCGCGGACTGAAATTAGACCTCGCCATCCCTGGGGGGCTGCGATCTGTGAAACTGTCGCCACTTTCGAGGCCTGCTGGGGGGCCCAGCACAGTGGGTACACACCGCGGACTCCAATTAGACCTCGCCATCCCTGGGGGGCTGCGATCTGTGAAACTGTCGCCACTTTCGAGGCCTGCTGGGGGGCCCAGCACAGTGGGTACACACCGCGGACTCAAATGAGACCTCGCCATCCCTGGGGGGCTGCGATCTGTGAAACTGTCGCCACTTTCGAGGCCTGCTGGGGGGCCCAGCACAGTGGGCACACACGCGGACTCAGGTGTAGACCTTGCCATCCCTGGGGGCTGCGATCTGTGAAACGTCGCCACTTTCGAGGGCTGCTGAGGGGCACAGCACAGTGGGCACTCACGCGGACTCAAATTAGCCTCGCCATCCCTGCGGGGGCCAGTTTCGAGGCCTGCTGGGGGGCTCAGCACAGTGGGTACCCACCGCAGACTCAAAATTAGACCTCGCCATCCCTGGGGGGCTGCGATCTGTGAAACTGTCGCCACTTTCGAGGCCTGCTGGGGGGCCCAGCACAGTGGGTAGTCACCGCGGATTCAAATTAGACCTCGCCATCCCTGGGGGGCTGCGATCTGTGAAACTGTCACCACTTTCGAGGCCTGCTGGGGGGCCCAGCACAGTGGGCTTCCCGCACGTCTTTCTCTTGCTCTTCGTTCCCGACTCCCCATGTCCTCTTCGAGCCTGTAGTTGTCGCCCCACGCACTTGTATGGTTCTCCTGCGCATCATGTCATAGGCGCGTGTCCCAAGTAGCTTACATATCAAACAACGGATCCTGCAATTTGATTGTCCATGCAAGTTTCGGCCAACTCCTCGATTCCCATGATACAAATGGGTTGGGTACGTCACAGGGTAATTAATACCAAATCCTTGCATTTTAATACATGACCCACACGCGGAGCATGTATTAAAAACGGCACTGTATTGTAACCATGGTCGTTCGCTTTGGCATCACCATACTTGGCATCAGAACCGTCACTTGCCACTGGGCCCTCTGAACTGCTGAACGGTAAGCGGTTCGTAGCTGTTCTGCTTTGGACCATCGCGTTCACCCTGTTCGTGACAAGGTTCGTGTCGTGTCGACCTGCGCGTTGGTTTCTGATACCGCGTGGATCTTTCAACCCTGAGGAGAGGAGGAGGAGGAGGAAGAGGAGGAGGAGGAGGAGGAGGAGGAGGAGGGAGCAGGAGGAGGAGGAGGAGGAGGAGGAGGAGGGAGGGGGAGGAGGAGGAGGAGGAGGAGGAGGAGGAGGGAGGAGGAGGAGGAGAACAATCGCAGCTTTTCGACAGCGCGGATCGCACGGCATCGGCCGGTCCCGGGTCAGCGTCGGCGTTCAGCCTTGAACCAACGCCCGCGTAGGGGCCACCGCCGCGTCGACGCGGCGCGGCCCCACCGCACGTGGATCGAGGACAGAGAGGAGGGAGGCGTGCTCGTGTCCGCGTTAGGAGGCCGAGAAGGCCGCGGGAGGAGAAGCAGGAGGACGAGCAGGCGGAGGAGCAGGAATCTTGCACGGACGGTGATCCCGTTGGCGCCCATCGTCGCGCCCGCTCCCGCAGGAGGCCGGCCGCGGCGGGAGGCGAGAGCGAGGGCGGGGCACAAAGCAGGATGGAGAGCGCGAGCGGAGACGAAGCAGAGCATCCACACCAGGCAGCCAGACACCACCACCGCCCCTGGCCAGGGCCATCCTGGTACCCTGGGTTGGAGCGTAGACCTTCCTGGCCCTCCTCCTCGTCCTTGTCCTCGTCATCGTCCTCGTTCTCCTCCTCCCTCCTCCTCCTCCCTCCTCCTCCTCCTCCTCCTCCTCATCCTCCTCATCCTCCTCCTCCTCCTCCTCCTCCTCCTCCGCCTCCTCTCCTCCTCCTCCTCCTCCTCCTCCTCCTCATCCTCCTCCTCCTCCTCCTCCTCCTCCTCCTCCTCCTCATCCTCCCCCCCTCTCCTTCTCGCCCTCGTCCTCCTCCTCCTCCTCCTCCTCCTCCTCCTCCTCCTCCTCGGAGCCTCTCGGAGGGCCACCCGTCCTCTGGGAGGCCCTCTGTGGCCTCGAAGGCGGCTCCGGAAGCTTCTGACAAGGCCGGAGGCCTTCGGAACCTTCTGGGAAGGCCCGCCCCGCCTCCCCCTGTGGGCGCGCCGCCGAACGGCGAGAGGCTGAGCGCGCCTTGGCCGCCGCGTGGGGGAAGGTGGGCGACCAGCTGTCCCAGGCGTTGAAGCGCTTGCCGATGACAAAGACGTGCTTCGGCTGGCGACCGAGCGGCAGACGCGGACGACGCTCGAGGGGGGAGGCCCCTTGCGCAGAGGGAAGGCCAGGTTTCGGCGGAAAGTCGCCGGCGTTGCGGCTGCAGCGCTGGCGATCTGCCGCCGAGGCGGCCCCGGTCGGCGGAGGTCGCGGGCGTTGCAGGGCCGCCACGTTTGACGGAATGTCGCTGGCGCCAGCACACCTCGACGACAGTGGGGGAGCCCTCCAGACAGCTCAACGAGAGCGGGGGGGGAGCAGCAGCAGCAGTAGCAGCAGCAGCAGCATGAGCAGGAGCAGCCGCAGCTGAGGATAGGATGGAGGAGAACGAGGAGAAGGACAAGGAGCACAAGGGAAAGGGTCAGGAGGGGGGTAAGGATAAGAAGGAAGATCAGGAGGAGGAGGAGGAGAAGAAGGATGAGGAGGATCAGGAGGTTATGGGGAAGGAGGATCAAAAGGAGAAGTGGACTACACCCTGCTGGAGCTGCTGGAGGAGCTCGAGAATCCGCATCTCATCACATGCCCGCTGCCGCACATAGACATTTCGCCGACGAGCGCTCAGGCACGGGTACAGTCGGGGCGCTGAAGAAGGAACCCTTTTCGTTGGGGAGGGGCTCCGTGTTTCTTGATTGTTTCACAGCTTGCCTTAGGTGTTCCTTAGGTTTTCGATGGGAAATCGAACTTTAACTCATGGGAAAAAGGGGCCTCGTTCCTTATGTAGGGTTCCTTAGGTCAACGTCCCGACTGTATGAGACGTCCCCTGCACCAAGAAATGGCGAAGCTCTCCCTGCAACCTTTCCTGTCCAAAGCGTCCCACCCACCGCCCACGGGGGAGAAATAGCAGTCACCACTCATCCCCATGCACTTCCACATCATCGCCAACCCCGGGCCAACTCCCTCCTGCTGCTCCCCCTCCTCGTTCTGTTTATTCTCCTCCTCCACCTCATCGGCGTCGTCTTCCGCCTCCTCCTCCTGCGTCTCCTCCTCCTCATTTTCCTATACCTCGTCCTGGTCAGGGTCTTCTTCAAGGTCGGCGGCACCGGCCGTAAGGCCTTCGCAACAGCAGTCACCATCCCGTCCGGACAAACAGCGATCGAGAATCGAGGGCCGAGTCAACTCGGGGGCGTCCAAGAGGGTGGCGTCCAAGATGGGGGGTCGCAGATGATGGCCCGAGGCAGGTGCGTGGTCGAGGGGCGCACCAGGGGACGCATTGAGACTTTTGTTTCTGCGTCGGCGGCTGGGCAGATTCACTGCGCGGGCGACGAGCTGCCTAAACGGCGGTGCCGTTGTGGCGGGACGCACTGAAACCGGAAGAGGGGGCCACCAAAAATCCAGGGCGATCTCCCGGCCCTGGCATGAGGTCCACGCCCCCTCTTGTCCTCACCCCCCGTGTTGGCCGCCCCGGGCGCCAACCCCTGCCGCTGCGAGCAACTCCCCCTACCAATCACTCGGGCGGGTGGCAAGTGGGGGTGACCCACTTTTTTGATCCGCGGGTCGAGAGCGAGCCTCCTCCGATCGAGGCTAAGCGGGCCGCACACAGCTTTCATTCACAGAGGAAGGAGGACGGAAGGAGGGGCCTCACGTCGAGGCCAGGAGAGGGCGAAGCCCCGGGATCAGGCGGTGCCGAAAGCGAAGTGCATGCAAAGGAACGCCTTGAACAGGAACCCGGAGGCGAAGTACCTGGGGGGTGACCCACAGAGGGACGGAAGAGAAGAGCCCTGCAGGGGAGGGGCCCCTCGGGGCCCCTCTGGGGCCCCTGCTGGCTCCCAAAGGAGCCCCTCGAGGGCCCCTCGAGGGCCCCTTCTTCGGCCCCCCTTCTCGGTCACCCCCACGGACCACCCGCCCGAAACGTCCAGACGCCGTCCTCAGCGGGGCCCAGGTTCCGAACGACACTGCACCGACCTTGCAGCGTGCTGCAGCGAATTCTGCTTGGATTTCTGTCGATGCAAAGCCAGGAAACGGCGAGCGAGACACGAAGTGAATTTCGCGTGGATGGCTTGTGGTCTTCGCTCCTGGCCAAGAGTCCGCACGACATTCACTTCGAACTGTGGAACGAAATTCTCCAGGACAGTCCGGGCCCATCCCATTGATTTACGAACGACATCCGCTCTGCGATGTTGGCGCTCTAGATGGGATCCGAGTAGATGGAGTCGAAGGATCGCGCCGCATCGTCAATGCATCGCCGATGCATCGGCGATGCATCAGCGATGCATCGGCTACGTCGGCGACGTCTCCACGACACTGGCGTGGGGAAGATCGGGCTCCACATCGAGCCGCAGCGTCGATGCATCGGCGATGCGGCGCGATCCTCCAACCCCATCTACTCAGACTCCATCTAGGAAGCCTAGACAGGAGGTTTCGGGGGGGGATCAAGGAGGATCCAAGAGGATTAAGCTCCATTGGGAGGCTGTTACGCCAGACTGGGCCGCGGATTGAGCGGGATGAAGCCGCCGGAGTCAGCGGGATGAAGCCAAATTGAGCCGGATGAAGCCGGATTTCAGACCAGGGCAAAATCGGAATTTTGCCTCCCGGGAGTTGCATCGGAATGAAGGTTCCGAGTAGATGGGATCGAAGGATCGCGCCACACATCATCAATGCATCACCGACGCATCGGCGATGCATCGGCGACGTCGGCGATGCATCCGCGACGTCGGCGCGTGAAAGATCGAGGGTTGGGGCCATGAGGGTTGGGAGACAACTACTAGGAGGTCTTCGTCGGAAGGATCAAGGAAACTTCAGCCCCATTGGGAGGCTGCTGCGCCGGATGAGGCCGTGGATGCCGCGGGAGCAGGCCGGATCGAGCGGGATTCGGCCAGCTGAAGCAGGCCTGAGCCGGAGGAAGCCGGATGCCGGAGCAGGGCAGGAACAGAGCTTGGCCTCCCAGGCGCTGCATACGAACGAAGCTTCGGGGGAAGGGGGGGAGGCGGCGGTCGCCCGGCCTCTGGGCGCGCGCGCCCGGCGCGCGCGCCGCAGGGCCGCTCCCTCCGCTCCGAGGGTAGGCCCGCCGAGACGGCGGCGGCACTCCCGGGCCTGCTGGGGGCCTCTCCTCGCCACAGCGGGCTCCGCAGCGAAAGGATGGAGCCCAGGAGGGGGGGGGGAGAATTTGAGTTCAAAAATCTGGTATCTTGAGTTGTAAATGTATGTATATATATATATATATATATATATATATATATATACCTA